GAGGCGACTTTTCGAGATGTTCCTTTATGCTTTGGAAGGCCCACTCACATTCTGGAGTCCATTCAAACTTCTTGTTGGCCTTGAGTATATTAAAGAATGGCAAGCAACAATCTGTTGCTCTCGATATGAAGCGACTAAGAGCCGCTATCTTCCTATTTAAGCTTTGAACTTGCTTTCGATTTGTGGGACTTGTCATATCTAGGAAAGCTGGGATCTTTTCGGGGTTGATTTCAATCTCCCGGTGGTTAACCATATACCCTAGGAATTTTCCAGAGGATACTCCGAACGAACACTTGAGAGGATTAAGCTTTATTCTATACCTTCGGAGTACGTCGAACATCTCAGCGAGATGTGCTATGTGATCTAAAGCGATATGCGACTTAACCAGCATGTCATCGACATAGACTTCCATTGATTTTTTGATCTGCTCGGAAAGCATACGGTTAACCAAAAGCTGGTAGGTTGCCCTAGGGTTCTTCAGATCGAAGGCATGACCTTATAATAGTATAGTCCCTGATCTGTGATGAACAAGGTATGCTTCTCGTAAGGCTCATACATCGGGATCTAACTATACCCTAAGTAGGCGTCCATGAAGCTTAACAGCTCGTGCCCAGAGGTGGCGTCGACAAGCTGATAGATCCTGGGTAAAGGGAAACTGTCCTTCAGACAGAATTTGTTGAGGTAAGAGAAATCAACGCAAGTTTGCCACTTTCCGTTGGGTTTCTTCACCAAAACCAAATTGGTGACCTAACTCAAGTAATGAGCTTCCCGAATGAACCTGTTTGAGAAGAGCTTATCCACCTCAACTTTAAGGGTAACATAGCGCTCTAGGTCCATTGCTCTTCTCTTCTGGCAAATTGGCTTGATTGCGTTGTTGATGTTAAGTGCATGACATATTATATTCGAGTTGATCCTGACCATATAAGCATGAGTCCATGCAAAAACATCGATATTCTATAGGAGGAGGCTCATTAAATATGCAATAAGTTGCGGGCTGAGATTACTCCCGATTCTCAATACTCGCATCGACTCATTCTGGTCGACAGATATCTCTAACAGAGACTCAACCAGCCCACTGTGGGAATACTCTTGAACACGAGGATCTATGCAATCTTCCATTGGACCCGACTGTGGCTCGATCCTACTGATCATCATTGTTTGCTGAGAATACCTACCGGCATCTCTTTCCCTTTGCATGTCATATGCACTGCCCTTATAGTAGTCGCGAGATTCGCTCTAAGACCCTTTCATTTCCCCACAACCTATCGGAGTGTAAAACTTCATCTTCAAATGATAAATGGAGGTGAAAGCCTTGAAACTTCATAGTAGAGGTCATCCCAAAATGCCATTAAAAGCGGACAGGCAGTTTACTGCTAAGAACTCAATCATCTTGGTCACTTCGTTGGTCTCACCCAAAGTGACAGGAAATGCGATTGTTCCCTTAGGAATCAGATGATCCCTAGTAAAACCATAGAGAGGGATAGAGGTAGGCTTCAGATCTGCCTAGTCCAATTGCATCTCCTCAAAAGCTCGCTGAAATAGAATGTTCACAACACCGCCATTGTCCACCAACATCTTGTGGACTTCACATTGACCTATTTCAAGCGCAATGACGAGTGCATCCTCATGGGGATGATGTAGTCGCACCGCGTTTTTCTCTAAAAAGGTAATCTCTTATTCTCTACGATCCTTAGCAAGTTACGACGCCATGCTCATCACACTCACGAGGTCATGGCGAGCTTCCCGAGCGTACCTTTCCTGGGCGCCTCGAGAATTCCCCACGAGGTGCGGTCCTTCAAAGATGATACCCACGAAGTAAAGACCCTTACGACCATGATGTTTCTTCCCCTATTCCTCTTGATCTTTCTCCTAAACGGGAGTCAGACTATCAACATGCTCATTGAAATGCTCCTACTTGATAAAGTCTTCAATTGCTTGCTTGAGAGTCCGACACTCATCGGTGTGGTGCCCATTATCCCAATGATAACGACAATATTTCTTGTTGTTTCTTGCTAAAGGGGGATTGTTCATGGGCGTTGACTTGTCCAAAATAGTCGATACTAACGCGTTCAGATGAGTATATTGATTCTTGTCGTGATCGCGACAAGGAACCTGGGCATAGGATTTCTTGGGCTTAAACCGCTGCTTCTTTTCTTTCCGCTGATCGTCATTAGCCCACCTGCAATCAACTCTTCTAATACCTTCCCCCTGGTTGGGAGCATTGGCGAAGGACTGGGGTCGTGGCGATTAAGAGCAGTCACAAAATTCTCTATTTGGAGATACTTCTCCATAAGGTCGTAGAAGCGGGCGAGGAAAATGTTGTCCATAGATTGCAGCTTCTTCCACAAGTTAGTCTGCGGGTAGACTCCCGCAATAATGAGAGTTCGAACATATTCTTTAGGTGTGTTAGCCACCTTGTGCAGCTCCCTATGGAACATGTCAATGTAAGACTAGAAGGATTCATTCTTTTCCTACTGTATGTTGCTCAGATAGCTCAACGGCATTGAGAACTTCCTGTTCACCTGGAAGTGTCTCAAGAATAATGAGTTCATTTGCGGCCACGAGTTAATAGATCTTGACGAAAGCAATATAAACCAGTGCTTGGCATGGGCAGTCAGGGTCACTGCTAAACAACAACATTTGGCCAAGTTGGAAACTTGGTGAAGCTCCATGAGGTCGTTAAACTCATAGAAGTGATCCTATAAATCAGAATTCCCATCGAATGCTCGCATATCGAGCATTATAAACCTCGACAGAAGAGGAGCAACTAACACTGTGGGAGAAAAGGGGGACACCTCAGCGACCTACCCGTGCTCATTTTGCTAAGGTCTAAGCTGATCCAATGCTGGTTGTAACTCCTCAATCTGAGGCAGCGCAGCTACCTGGAGATCACTTTCCACAACGTGGGTTTGATCCTCACGATTATGGTTGAGGAAAGACCGCAGATCAGACTCTTCCTTGCCTCGGTCGGAGGCTCCGGTATATCTCAACACACACTGACTAAAGCCATGTGAAGGCAATGAAAGGTTAGGGGAGTTAGCCCGACCTCCGCGGTTGTCAAAACCGACCTGTGGTTGGTGGGGGTTTCCCTGTCTTGTACTCATGTGGGGGTGCCCAACTGCCCATGCGATGTGGCGTGGGACGGTTCATGATGCAACCGGTATTCGTTGGTCCCTTGGAGGCCTTTAGCCCACTATCTGCCACCTCTTTTCCCTTGCCTTTTTGCGCTGTAGTGTGCGCGGCATAGGCCTTCGCCCATTTCTGTGCTTTAACACGACCTACAAATGTTTTTGGTGGTAACACCGCCTTGTCGGACTCGGGTGGTACAACTTGATCCAAACGATTTGACCTTCGATTAATCGTTTGGAGAGTATTGTTGAACCTCTCCAGGTAATCCGTCATAGTTGGGTCGAGCTGTGAGCTCGAAGGAATGTCCGCTGCGGTAGTATGGTAAATCGGGGGCACTTCGAGAGAAGTGTCATCCTGTACCCGGGGGACCTCCTTGTTGCTGGGGCTAGCTCGCTCGGTTTCGAAACCACGAGCCATTTGCTAGCAAATAGACTTGATTGATCAGAAATTCATGATGAAGAGCGGATACTAAATCAGGCCATCCTTCTAGCGCCAAACTATTAATGCTGGATTGTGACACCAACTATTTGCACATGCAAAGTGCTAAGCGGACTTAGAAATTACACGTGAGTTGGAAAATGAAACAAATAAAAGGAAGACGATTTTTAAAGTGATTCGGATGCTCAAAGCGAATCCTACATCCACCGCCTTTTTATTTATGAAAGAGTACAATCAGGTCGCATGCAGCGATCTAAGAGAACAGAAGTACAGAGAGGGAGAGAGAGTGCTTTTGTTATCAGAACTAGAATCCTGAACTATTTATAGTAAGAGGTTTTTAGGTAATGATTATGAGTCTGCCAACGGGTAGGTGTCGTACACTTTCTACCCTGCTTCTCATTGGTCAGTTGCATGGAAGATATCCTTAAATCGCGTAGGACTTGGGCAAGTGGGTGACTCCTAGCCACTCACTCGTCAAGCCTTTACTTGCCAAGTTGATGACAGTCTTACTCCTTCTGTCTTTGGGCAACATGGCAACGCCTGGATGGCACAATACCTTCCTGAATTATGATTGGTTCTCACTAACGTAAGTCTACATCAGCTCTAATTTTTTAGGCATAACACTTTTGATGCAGTTTATGGTTCAACCCTGTGTGCCTTTTCTTCTTTAATTCTCTGTAATTGATTTCTCTTTAAGTCCCCTTACCACCATATCTACTAAATTACCAAGATTTTGCGGAGTGGCATAATGACCCCCTGTCAAAAGATTCATTTGGAAATAAGTCTTGGAGTTTTGAGGAGTACAGGTGAACTATAGGTTTAGGCTCTTTTTAAGGGTATCCTTTTGTGCTTCAAATATATAGACTTTTTTAATCCTATATTTCGGCATAGGCACTACACCTAGAGAGCATATGCCAAATCACCCTTAAGATTTAAATCTCAGGAGAACATGCTTTAAGAGACTTTTTGTTTTTCTTTTCTTATATGCCCACAAATCCTTTTCTTATTCATTCACCAAAATCTGAATTGGGCTCACTACTAAACTTTACATGTTCGAATATCAACCGACAAAGGAGATTTGAATCTTGACCTATTGTTTCAAAAACTTATTCCATCACAGGTGTTGCAATTCCCAGAACAAGACCATGTCTAAACCTTTAATACATTTTTAACCCAAAAATATTTCATATATCATCATCAAATGTCACATTAAGACATGATATTCGCTTGTCTCATGATTGATTAGTTGTAAATTCATTCTTTATAAAGAAAACTATAAGGAAAACTCTAAAGAGAACGGTAATGAACTGGCTGAAACAACAGGAAACAAAATGGGAGGACCTGCTCAGCCACTCCGTGCACATTTATTTTGCTGGAATGAGATGGCAGAAATATGAATGACTAAACTCTTACTTAGTGGCACGTGATCAATTATGAGCATGTCCAAATAGACTGGAGATGGGCAGTGCCCAATGACATTTCAACATAAATATAGCAAGGTCTTGGTGGCAAGGATAACATAATATAATGGAGTGGGCTCAAAACTATCAGAAAAGGTCGATGTTCAAACCCTCATTAATACGTCTCTGTATTTTGTCAAGCAATTTGAACGTGGCGACAAAAATTAAATAAGATATAAAACAGAAAGTGACACTTGAATCCGCAGACTTATCGTCATGGCAACTTGGAGCTTGGGTTGCAAAAGAAATTCACACCTACTTAAAAAGAAATTTTTGCAGAGGATATCAACAAGGCAACTGATTTATCATTAACAGGAAATCTATATGAATTATTGCAGGGCCAAACTGTCATCCACAAAAATGACCATACATAAACACAGGGTATTACAAGACATAACCTGTTGAGTAATGGATGTTTTGAAAAGTAACGGTTAGCAATAATTCTAACCCGTCACAAGGAAACATTTCGTTGGAGCAAGCAAGACTCGAGAGCACTTGACCCAGGAGTCGAGACCAGACTGATCATTTGATTCAAGCTTGTAGAAAATGAGGTTGGCTGACCATCTTATCGGATGTCTCACTTTCTAAAATTCTTGTAAGAATCCATTAGCAGACACTAAATCCTTGCCTGCAACACTAAGCAAAATGCCAATAAAAAAATAATCTTGTCAGGGTGGTGCTACAAATTTTAGCAGGTAAGAAAACAAACAAACTACCTCACAATTATAATTTTCCACTTTATGCAGAAGATGATTAAGTCAAAAAAGGCATGAGAGTCTTAGGTATTTATCAAACAAGGAAAGAAAGATCTTTTAAAACCTGCATAGTGATGAGTACGATTTTTTTAAGCATCCCAATTCCTCACTGACAAGATATGCATGAGATGGTTGCTGCAAGTAAGTACCTGGGATCTATTCCAACTACTACTCCCGCTCAGATGCCTCCTCTGAATCAGACAAAGGTAAGAGGGTGCAAATCCCAAGCATATGGCCATTGAGGCACACATAATACTCGATGCAATCCTCGTAAGCACCCAATCTGCAGGTGGCACTCTGTGGAATCATTTTGGCTTGCAGCATGCTCCACAACTTTGCCTTGCAATAAGGGCATACTTCTGTTGGATGAAGCTGGGCCCTCCTTTCAATCAGCATTTTCCTAACCTTTGACATTGAGAATGACTTAAAAACTCCACGGAAAAATCCTACATCCCCTTCCTCCCCTTGGTCTAGATGCTCGCATGGATCAGATACATACAAGATATCTGTTCTGCATTGTGGCAAAAGAAAACTCTTTCCTGATGTCCGAGAGAACCTGGTCCTGTAAACAAAGTGGCCAGGGATCTGAATGCTATTGAACAAGCCACCCTTGCTACATCCTGAACAATAAATAAGAAGCTTCCCGAGTGCCCTCCAATTTCCATCAACACTATGACTCCCACTAGATTGCAGATCAAGCATCATCTTTGGAGCCCTTGTTCGGCAAAACTCCTTCCATAGCACTCGCTTGGCAAGATCGTTAAACCATTTGCATACACAGGACAGAGTGGCAATAAGCTTGGGGTTCCAGTTCAATTGTTGAAATACTAGGAAAATCACATCTTCACTAAGATGTCCTTTCGTGCATTGACAGCTTGCTGAGTGTATGCAACGATACTGCTTGGTGATAATCATTGTTTCTACTATCCACCTACTGAGAACAGAGAAAGATAATGATAATGACTGACATGTATAAGTCAACATATCAAAGGGATTAAAGTGGCTATGACTAAGCATCAGTTTATTTAGGCACACTCCAGTCTTTGATTGTAATGTGCTCCATTTAAAATGAAAAGAGAATAATTTCCTGCTTAAAATATAATTTTATGCAGAGGGACGCCTCAAGCTACTCTTGGGAAAATCCTTCTTCCATTATTGTTACAACATTTCTTTTCAAATAATTCTCACAGCATCCATAAAAAAATAAACCCAATAACGGTAAAGAAAAAAGAAATGGTGAATTAAACTCTAACATACAAAAAAGACCACAAGAATCAAAGCACACCAACAGTGAACTAAATTACTAGGAATCGCCTTCGGGCGAACATCGAAAAGCCCCAATCAAATGAACTAAAACAAGGCCTGACCAGTCGAGCAGTTAGTTAAGAAACACAAAGACTCTAGAGCATTGTACACTTTATGTCACACACATACTCCAACAAAATATCATGGCTTTTAAGTTTCAATCGACGCACATCAACACTTCATAACATTATTTATTTCCGTCAATCATCCACCTTTTTGAGAGCCTACACACATATCATGAAGTAGGTTTTTGCATTTCAATAGAAAATTTTTTTTTCTTCAACAATAGAAGCTATAAATCAATGCATGTTACTCAAAGCCAAAATCTCATACCAGAAAACCACTTATAAAAATTGACATCATTGTCAAAGAACCCACAATAACCAAGCAATCAACCAATCCAAAGAGAACCCACTTCACAACTTCCCTTGATAATACTAAATCAACATTAAAACAAAAAATCTCCAACAATTAAACCACATCAAAACCAGCTCAACAGAAGCAAACAAGCTGAACTGAGCTAGATCGTAAATGAAATGAATCAGACCCGACTTTTCACCTCAGCTAATAAGTTCCTTGCATGCACAGCCTCAAAACCCTAGAAAAACCATCTCTGCACAAAAACGAAAATATTAGGGCCTGCATGTGCTGAAATACCAAACCAAACAAATTAACCAAAAAAAAAAAATAAAAAACTTTAAAGAGCAACAAATTCCCAACTCACAAACAAAGAAAAGTTGGTAATTTCCACTCCCCACAGGGCAAATTAGTCAAAACGAATTTATATTTACAGAGGAAGAAAGAAAAGGCAAGAAAATTGCAGGGTGATAGAAGCGAGAGAGAGGGCTTTGGGTTCCATATAGAAGAAGAAAATGTTAAATATTTGAAGGACAGATATGTTGACAGGTCAGTTTTTTAATCGAAGGAACGACAAATGAGAGACGTCACGTACTGATGAGCACGTAGACGATTACGTGGCGGTGCATAGGCGGCAAGTGGGATCCACTTTGTCTTATCTGTCAGCGTCTGATTGAGGTGACTTTTTGAAAATAACGGCAACGTATTTGACTGTCATCTACATTTTTACTGTTGCCGTTGTCGGACTGATGAAAGGTAAGTGCTTTCATGTCCACAGAAAGATTCTTAAACCCTGTATTTGTCCACGTGTCAGAACACTGAATTTTTGGGATTTTTTTCCTTATTTTGAGATTTCTGTTTTGTATACGTTGCAGATTGTCATTGCCTGTTTGCATTTTTCCTCGAGGATGCACGCCTACCTTACACTTTATAATATTAATATTAATTATTTAAATATTAGTATATATAAATTTTAATTATATTGATATAATTTATTTATAGAAAAAGATTGGATTATATTTAAAAAATACTATATTTATATCTCAATCTCACAACCTTCTCTTACACTCTAACGTGATAGCTGAGTTGACACTATCACATCTAAGAAATGACCGTTCTTGTTTAGTCAAAGTTATTTATTGTCTTAAGTGTGATGAGAGGTAACTAGGGGTGTTAAAAAACGATTAACCGAACTGGTTTTTTGGTTCGAAAAAATTCCCAAACTGATTTGGAGGGAAAACCGGTTTAAAAAAAAAAAAGGGATAATCGGTTTTCCCTTCTTTTAATCAAACTTTTATTTTTTTATTTTTTCCTAAATTAAATTATAAATATAAATAATACATATCCTAATAAAAATTAAACATTCATACATATCTATTGACCACTACTAACAATACATTAAAAAAAAATTATTTAATATTTAATATGATATATTATTTTTTATTTAATATATAATTTTTATTTATATATATATACATCCGGTTCAAAAAACCGGTTTTGATTAACCGCTTTTTATTTTTTCCCGAATCGGAAATTTGGTTTTTTGAATTTTTCAAACCGTAACTAAACCGCTTTTTCGGTTAACCAGTTTTCATGTTCGGTTCAATTTTTGCATTTTTTTTAACACCTCTAGAGATAACGTGACAATTGTCAAATCAGCTACCATATTGGGGTTGTAAGAGAAGGTTGTGAGATTGGGTTGTAAGCGTAATAGTACTTACTATATTTTTAAATTTATAGATTTTTGTAATTTAATAATTGCTAAATTTAGTTGATATATTTTTAGCGCCAAAAATATTATCACTCAATGGGATATTTTTACTTACAACACATTATTTTTGGATTATGATCCAAAAGTGATTTGTCAATCCAAGGATACACTAACGAAACATTTCTAATTATAGAATAATTTTAACATATGATCTTAAATATAAAAAAAAAAATATATATTTTTTTATTTATAATAAAAATTTCTATCATCTTTGCACTACAAATGTCATCAAGTTAATATTAATTAGATTGACATCTAAAACATGATTTATTGTGATTTTATGCATAAATAAAAATTATTTTAAAAGGAGTTGAGTATTTGAGAAAGTATTCTTAAAAGGAAAATAATACAGTTACCGAAGGATGTGCACCGAATGACATGACGCAATCCTGACTGTCGATTAATATTAATTCATAATTAATCGACGGTTAAGATTACGTCACATCATTTGGTGTACGAATTCTGTGCACATCTTTCGGTAACTGTAGCATTACTCTTCTTAAAAACCAGGATAACATCAAGAGCAGACAAAAGGTTCATAAAGATGAAAATGTTAACATGATGTCTTGAGGAAAATCTAGGGCTCTTTTTGTTGTTTTGTTTTGGATGAAGAAGTGGGGCAGGTGAAGTGGAGTTATCAAGTGAGCATGAATTGGTTGAATTTGGAAGGAAATGGATGTGACTAAAAAACGTGATTGCAAAAATCCTTACTCTTCCCATTGGTGGTCAAATCTAACAAATCCAGAAATTTAAAAGTGCAAAGCAAGTGGTAAAACTAGGTTTGGTAGGTCCTCTTAGTCTCAATTGTGTGCCGACTTCGAAACTAGAACTCCCATCGAATCCTATAATTTTTAGGAAACGAGAAACAATGGCCAAAGCCCAAGTTTTAAACTAGAGGCCCTCTTGAACCTTGTAATTAGAACTAGAAAAGTGACCCGTCCAGCCTGGCCCACAGCTGGTTACTACTTTTGGCAGGTCGATCCTAACCTGCCTGCCAACAAAGGCAGGCCGAGTTAGGCCCACCATTTTTAGGGGAATAGTTAGCCCAGCTCGGCCCGCCAACCCTAACCCGCCGGGTTAGGCTGCACGCAGGGCCGGGTTAGCCCTTTTTTTTTTATTTAATTAACTTTTCAAATAAATAATTAACAATTTATAAATGAATAAATTATAAATGTAATTGTTTTTAGCTAACTTTTTAAATATCAATAATTCAATTAATTTTTTTTTTATTAACATTTCAAAGATTAATTCAATTTTAATACAATAAAATTATAATATAAGAAAAATTAGATTTATTCATTTATCAAAAAGTAAAATAAGAAATTACAATAATTATTGCCTCGTTAAAAACCTCACCAAGAAAAACCCAATAGGAGAAAAACTTAGTAAAGAAAAAAGAGTACAATAATTGACAATTAATTTACTAGTTACAATTTACAAAACAACTAATTTGGGGGTGGTTTACACATAAAATATTTTTATATAATATTATATGACAAAATAAGATTGAATGATTTTAAATTTAAATTAAACTTTCACTCAATCATCTTTTGTCACATAATGCTATATGAGAAATATTGTATGAGAATTTTGTATATGTACTATTACTCTTATCGGTTTGGGTCATCAATGGTCAATTTGTTAATAAGTCGTTTTATAATGGGCCGTATTAGGACTTAGTCTTAAAAAATGTTTGATTTTTTAATTAAATATATTTTAGTGCTAAAGTATTTAAAAATTTATTATAAATAATAAATAATATTTTGGATTATCTAATAAATAATTTATTATAAAAATAATAATAACAGTGTGTCAAATACTCAAATTATATGATTACGAAGTTTTATACATTTTAATATTTATGATTTAGAAGTATAGTTTAATATTATTGTGTAAAATTATTTGTAAGAGTTTGATCATAATAGTTTAATTAAAAAAAATTAAAAAATAGGGGAAACTTGAAAAAAATAAATTTTTTTATTTTTATTTTTTTTTTACCAATAGCCAATAGCAACCCGCCAACCCAACGGGTTGCCATATAGTAACCCGACCCGCCCAGGGTTTGCATGTGGGTTGGGTTCAACCCGACCCGATTATAAGACGGTTTGGGTTGGGTTGACCCGTCTAACCCGACCCATTTGTTCCACCTCTACTTGTAATCTTTGAGAAACGAGAAATAACGCCCTTTTGCTATACAAGTGTCCATGAGAGGGCTCAAAACTCAAACCTTGTGGGAGCAAAACACAAGCCCGAGTATCCGGCCAAACACTTATAGGTGTTATATGATCATTTTAAAGTATGCATAACAAAGAATTGTAAATAACAAAAAGTATTATTCAATCAAGAACAAAAAAAATAACCAACAACATTGAATGAGAGAAAGTAAAAAAATTTAAATCTAAGAAAGCACACATAAGCCAGCCAATTTTACAGTCAAGAAGCTTCCCTTTCCACACTTAAAAGGTACATGGAAGTCATGAGTATATTTTTTTTATTAACTGTATATTAACAATCACATTGGGTATGGGATTCAAAGAGGAAATGAAGCATACCCTCCAGAAAATGTATATGAAGCAAGTCAATGTCAGTACACAAAGGATTCGGACATTCAGCTCAGTATCTGGGTTCTCTCGAGTCCACCGAAGCAATCTACTTTAACACTTCTGCAACTACATAAGCTTGTGAACTTCACTTCTTCACGCAAAAGCTTAGGTTTATTCACTACCATATTTGAAAAAGAACTAAGAACTGTTAATAAAAGCGATGTATTCCAAGTCAGGCGACAGTGTTTGCCGAAGGTTTGGTCTCTTGGAGGGAGATAACTGTTTCAAAAGCACCAACCAAGGCCTTAACCTTACTTTTCCGGATTTCAGCAAGTTTACTTGCTGTTTGTTCAATGACGTTATTAAACAGGATTTGGGAATCTTTCTTTCCCTGAACATCTTGATGTCTCAAAACAACCTTTTGTGAACTGGATTTGCTGTCAATCACCACACCATCAGTTCCTCTCTTCTTAAAGCTTCTTCTGCCATCACCCTTGAGATTTGGCTTCTCTCCAAGCACTCTTCCTCTCCTGAACTTGAGCCTTCTTGGACCATTGTTGTCAGACTGAATGTCAACCACCTTTCCCTTCCTAAAATGTAATTTCATTGCCTGGGAACCTTTTTCCTCAGAGTAAACCATCCCATCTTTTCTAGACCTCCCTGGGTGTTCATTCTCCATAGTTTCTTCTTCTTCCATGCTGAAGGTTTCATCAGATTCAGAAAGAAAGTCGTCTTCTGTTCCAGTCTCTGTATACTCTGATACCTCTTGCTGTTCTTCATTATGTAATGATGATGATGAAGAAGCTGTAAGGGATTCGGCTAACGAGCATGATGGAGGCGGAGCTGGTTCAACAACACAGATTTCATTTTGATCAGATTCCAAAGATCTGTTCTCAGTTTCCATCTTGATAACATACAGGGTTTTTTCCTGGACCAAATCATCATTAGTGTGCTTAAGCTCAACCTTGGATTCCTTCGGTTCATCTGTTTTAGTCTGGCCCTGATTCTTCATAGGGGACACAACTTTCAAGCTCTTATGCTTTCTGGCATTTAGGCTTGCAACTCTATTGAGAGAAGGTCTAGGAGACAATGATGCCCTTGGGGATGCCAGAGAAACTCTTGGGGAAACCAATACTTTCTTTGTAACTCTACTGATAGAAGGTTTAGGAGACAACGATGCCCTTGGAGATGCCTGTGAAACTCTTGGGGAAGCCATTACTTTCTTTGCAACTCTACTGATAGAAGGCTTAGGAGACAACGATGTTCCTTGGAGATGCCTGCGAAACTCTTGGGGAAGCCATTACTTTCTTTGCAACTCTACTGATAGAAGGCTTAGAGGAACAATGATGCCTTGGGGATGCCAGTGAAAGTCTAGGGGAAGCTATCATTTTCTTGACAGCTACTTTAGGGGGGCCTGTCTTGATGTCACTGTTTCTTCTTGCCACTTAAACCTCCTGAAATTCGGGAGATGATAATGCTTCTGCACCAGAGATTTGCCTTCAAGAAGAGGATGCTTGAAGCTGCATTTTTTTCTTTAGATTTAGATTTAATTGGTATCGAAGACACCTCTGTCTTTGCTGAAGCGGACAGTTCCGCCCATTGAATTTGGGGATTCAGACAGACGGGATTTAGAAGTGGGTGAAGGTCTGAGTTGGATGTGATGTCCTCTTTATCCCAGACAGAACTTCACCTTAAGGATACAGCTATCCACTGACGTATTAAGCACATTTCGGACATTCAATGATTTGGAGAACTTCATGCTTGATGATCTCAGGTATGTCAGATGAATAGGTTTTGAATGGGAGACGATTTGGGTCTTGCCACCAATGTCTTTTTCCTCTCCGGCAATATCATGTTGCCGTTGGACTTTGGTTGTCAATTGATGGTTTCCTATTACTTTTTGCTATGCGAGGTCTTCCCTTAGCTTCAAATGCATGCTTCTTGCCATACTTGCAAAAGTCGTGACAAGAAACAGTAGAGGCTCTGAGATAATGAGGAAGAACCTTCTCTCCACTTTCGGAAGAACTTGCATTTCCAACAGATTTTCTCCGAAGTACCTCCATCAGTTTGGTCCCTTCTGGATGTACCAGAAATTGCCATTCTCCTCACATCAACTAGGTAAAGATAAAGGGAACCAAAAAGGTTCAGAATAGACAACCTCGAAAAGTAATTATAATATTTATGGTAGTGAAACGACAATAGATTAGCAGACACAATCTAGCAAGTAGCCAACTCACCGCAATCTATTCACCGATACAGTGAATCAAGAAAAATATAACTAGAGCAAATTTCAAAAAATCTTCAACCTGAAAAACAATAACAATAAATAACATCAAACATGCTTCTAAAATCAGTAAAAACTCATGTTCCAATCAACTTTCAGAGAAAAAAAAACAAACATATACCTTAGAAAGCATTAACAATTAAAGAACACCAATGACAAAAAGATGTCTTCAATCTTAGCTTCATTAAATTTGGCACAGATGAATAGGAAACCAAACGATCTCCACAATAACAAATAGAAAAGCAGATATTTAACTAAAGGTAAAAGGAAAAGCATCCAAATCTATTAGATCATCAATAACAGAATAAATTCTTTTCTTTTCTTATACAGGCTTGAAGCATTAACTCAAATGGTAGACTTTATGCACTCCACATTTGCACACAAGAAATATTCCAGAAAACACAACAAATCAACCTTTACTTCCAGAAAGAAATTAAGAAACCCTCTATTATAACTTCCGAGTCTATCATAAACTTGAACTTCTAAAATACCAGTCCACTCATTCAATCAAAAATATAATAGCGAAAACTTTTCAAGTCACCAAAAAAAAAAAAAAAAAAAAAAAAAAAAGCAAATATAGAACAAAAGAAAAAACAGTACCCCAAATTGCATGAAAGAAAGCAAAAAAGCCATGTGAGCAGAACACAAGCAATCCAATCTCCAATTTACCAAACAAAAACAACCAGAAACTAATTGGAAACAAGTTAATAACAGACCTATAACTTCACAACTGTAATACATTATCAAAAATATTGAAATATATATATATAAATGTCACAGGTCTAAATTTATTCAACAATACCTTGATATGATCCAAACCAAACCATCTCCCAAAAATTGCAAACAGATTACTAAACAAGCAGCAAGCTAAGCAACCCCACTCTAAACATCAAACAAACTGAAAGAACCATAAATAAAAAACAGGTAAAGCTAAAATAAAACCAGATACAAAAAACGGAAAAGAAACAAGATAATTTTTTAGCCAAACCCCAAACAAACAAACCAAAAAAAATCGATTTTGGAACCGACCCATTTGAGAAAACGAGGAGATAAAAGAAACCCACAAAGCATTTGGAGGAAAAAGCAAAAGGGCTATAATAGAATTACCTTTTGTTGCAGTGTTGAGCTTAACCAGAAGCTAAGGAAAAGAAAATGAATGTTTCTTCTTTTATATTCTTGGTCTTGTTGTTTGTGTAATTTGGATTGTTTTTGTCTGCTTGAGAGATCGTGCAAGCAACTGTGGGTGTATTGAAGTCTGGTTGGGGGGAACTTTCCTATGCTCCACCGCGTTCTTGCAGATTATTTGGCGTTGAAGAAGAGGAAAAAACGTTGAGAGGACTGTGGGATGGATTGGGAGCCACCTCAAAATTCCTTCCGAATTTTATAGAAAATATTTTATTTATTTGTTTACCTAATATTTATTATTTCCGAACCAATCCAATAAAGTTATCGACTTGGTAATATTACAAACAATATATCAACGTAAAATTTATAAACTTATAACATAAAACGTAAATGAAAAACATTATTGACTTAAAGATATTATCATGATGTAAAAAATATATTCACATAAAGTTTGTAAAATTATAACATGAAACTTGTAATATTATTTCGAACCAATTTAATAATGTTACTACTTACATCTTATAGTGTTTTCATCGACGTAAAATTATAAACTCATAATTATAAACCAAAAACGTAAAAATTTGTAAAATGCACATACAATAAATATATAATTTCGTTTAGTATATTGAAATATATTTTTGGAGTAATTTAAAATTTATTTATTATTTTAAAGTAAGAGAATCTTTCTGAGTTGATATTTAGTTTTTAATTATATGTCAAGAGAAACCCAAGGTTATTTTAATAGAGAATTATTAAATTTTTAACATTATTTTGGAAACTTCTATAAGAATAAAACAATACCTTAAGAATACTGCATTTTCATATGTTTTTTTTTTAAATAAAAATACATTTTAATTATGATTATGTGGTTAATAAGTTTAGTGGTTAAAATTTTAATTTTTATTAAATTCACATTAAATATAAGTAATAATATAAACAAAATAAATAATCTATTTTAATTATTGAAGGAAATAAATTTATGAAAATTAATCAATTTTATATAAATGTGACATTTTAGATGAAATGTTGTTTTCCAAATCTGGTTCTAGAAATTAAGTGTTCATAATAATTTGTCATTATTAGGAAATAAATATAGTTTTCTTTTAATATTCTATGGCCTCAAAAATTGGGAAATAAATATAATTCTTTTAATTTGAACATGATCTTATTCTTGTGGTTTTCATTGATTAATTGTAACAATACATTTTTTTTTTTTTGGTGACTTTATGGAAAGCTACAACTTTAATATTTATAGAATATTACTATTTTAGAGGAAAAAATATAATCCATTAAATATATTTCTATATTATATACTTTTGAATAATTAAGTTAAGATTCTCTCCTCTCTCTCTTTTAATTGTATCATATAATTCTAAGCTGAAAATAAAATTTTAAATAATTTAAAAAATATGTTTAAAAAATTAATAAATAAATGTCTTGATGTTAAGCAAATATAAGAAGGAGATTTAGTTTGAAATTAAAAAAGAAATAGAAAAAAAAAATTGGTGAAGATATGATTTTATTTTTTATACAAAATCTTGGAAATAAATAAACATATAATTATAAAATTGATTTTATTTATGCCAACTCTTTGATTTTTTTTTTTTTTATGATAATGTTAATTAACCATCTTACCCTACGTATTATCAACCTTTGGACCATATGCTCTTTTCATAACGAAATTATTTAACAGAATTGTGTATGGCGCTTGTGGTAGTAAAATTGTATTTTGAAAATTTTTGGATAGAAAAGTGTCAAACATTATTTGTGGGGAAAGGTGATTACTCTTTATTAATTATAAAATTGACTTTTTAATAGTTCTTATTTTAAACATTCAAACTCAGATTCTGCCCTGGTTGGTCATTTATTTAATTAATATTTTAATTTAATTAAAGTGGGAATAGCTTCAATCTCTAATCATCTCATTTAATACTTTCTCAAAATTCAACTCATTCTTTCACATCAATTAATTTCCCCATAATCAACTTTTTAATTAAGTGCTTTAATTAAGAGGGTTTTAACTTAAGCTTGCCCTTCTGGCAAGAAATCCATTTTTTTTCTTCATTTTTATTTTAATTATATAAATAGTTAAAGAGGGAGGCAAAAAAAAATTAATTTAAAAGAACAAAATGTAAAAATAATAATAATTAATTAATTAATTAAAGGGACTTAATTCTCAAAGGATAATATTATAAACCTAAATACTGTATCTATAAAGTCGGTGCGAACCCCATTTTCTTTAATTAGTGTGAATCACACTAGAAAATGATGTATGAATAGAACGACTTTTTCCTACCTAAGGTTTTCCTTAATGATACTTTCTCATCCAAAAAATTTCAAACTACTATTTTTTCACCCAAAGTTTATATTCCGTTGATATCCAAAATATACTTCACTTTCTCAACCGACGTTCGACGAGTTACCAGGAGCTAAAGTAAATGGGGTTTTATAAAATGGAGGCCGGTGGATCAAATGGTGATGACCATCTGAATATTCGATATCACAATCAATCAGAAATCATCTAAGAACATGAAAACTTAACTTTGTAATGACCGACAATCGATGAAAAATCAAGTGCCGGGGTGAGAAGGGTTTTGTAGAAAGGAGGTCGGAGGTTGAAGTGGTTATGAAAGAGAGAATTTTTGTTGCCATAATGGGCTAGAATCGACTTTGGGTAGTAATAGAACATTAACTTTGGGTGGAAAAATGGTATTTTAAACTTTTTAGGTGTGAAATGTCATGAAGGCAAACCTTGGTTGGGAAAAAGTTGTTCACTCTGTATAATTATTTAAGGAAAATAATAGAGACACCGGGAACAGTGCATCGAATGACGTGACGTAATTCTGACCTTTGATTAATTATAACTTAATATTAATCGACGGTCATGATTTTGTCACGTTATTCGATGCACATATTCAATGTACTACTCCCGATTACTGTAACATTACTCATTATTTAATGAAATGTTTCAATTTCTCTAGAATATGCCAACTCATTCAATTTGAAGTCATCTTCTTCTATTACAAGTATTAAATTTTATCCTTAATTTCATAATATAATAAAATATTAATTAGTCGATGATATCAACTTATCATAATATATAATTACTTAGCTTAAGATTATTATTATTATTATGTGAAAATCTTTGGTGCGAATCTTCTAATTTTTTTTTTTTTTTCCTTTTAAAGACTTCCACCTAGTTTTTTTAAGATATAAAACTACTAATGGACAACATTTCAGTTAAGATTTTCGGATTAAAAACTTTAACTTATAAAGTTTTCTCATTTTTGAAAAGTTGGCAGGATTTTTTATTTAAAAACCAAAATACCCCTCATTTTCATATTAACCCAATTTCAAAAACCTAGATTCCACCTTTAACTACCTGTTAATGTTGCGATTTACACTAACGAGAAGTACATAGGGTCCATAGTGGGGTCTACATTTATAGAAAACTCATGATTTCGATGGTGAATCAATGGATGAACAATAACACAAAGAAAATATTTTTAAAATGGTTCGGATGTTTGACGTAAATCCTATATCCACTGTTTTTATATTGTTTTTTTTGTTTTTGTTGTGCACAATTATGACTTACAAAGTATGAATGAAATCCGATCCTTAATTTGAGTAAAAAACATGCATATATATACTATTACAGTGACAAACTTGTAAATAAAATTAACCTAAAAAGAATGACACGTGACGTGAATCCATGCTTCAAGGATTTACCGCACAACACTATCTATTTCTCTTGAACGTCTGTTACAATCAGAGATGTATCCCAGTTTCTGCCCTAAACTATTTATTTCTCTTGAACGTACTTTAAACTACATGATTTTAACTAATAAACCTAAACCATATAAGGGGATAAATGCGATTAACTCCAAATTTGCACAATACATTTTATTTTTCTATTTGTTGCTTGTGGAAGCCAGTGTAGAAGCACTTTTTAAAGATGGTGCAGAGGCATGAGGCATTGGCAGGAGCAAGTGCTTTTCCAATGAAGAAAAAAGCCTGAGCTTCTGGCTTCTGCTTTTGGGGGGAAAAGTTAATGCTTTTCTAAAACTAAGTAATGCCCACATTGTAAAAGCAAAAAGAATTTACATTGGATTCTCTTTACTTCATGATCTGCTTCCTTCAAGATCTAGCACATTCTTTTAAGATGTAATTTTGGACCACATAAAATTAATTAATTAATTAAAATTCAGAAAGAAGATTTTTTTTTTTTTTTTTTTTTATGTGTGTGAGATAGAATATAATAATAAGAAGAACATGGTTGGTAGATTGGTTGAGGAAGTTGACCATCCAACTAAAAGTTTGCTCACAACATAAAAGAAAGAAAAAAAAAAAATTTAGGGGTATTTACGTCATTTTCTAAGTGTGAGTTTTTCGATAAGTATCGTCGGGTGATAATATCTCTTTAGAGCATAAGTTAAATTTAGACATTATGTGTTACTTTTTTGTTACTGAGTTTTCTCAAAAGACCATTTCATGAACTCTTATCGGTTTTTTACCGTTACGAGTTCATTTATGCATTCAAAAGATAACTTGGGGGAATTTAGATTGACATTCTATATCCGCATCGAAAATATTATAATGAATTTGGAAATTTTATAAAAAGATTACCATGTACATAATCTAGGTTTGTGACAATAACAATAATAATTAAATGTAATTATGTTAACCTAACTTTTAAATTTTCAACCACCTTTAAGGAGTTGCTTATGAACTTCAAATTCTATGTATGTAGGCCTAAACTTTATGATAACCTTATAAATGTAGTAATTAAAGTGCCATTGAAATCAAATTTGTTTGATTGGTGATCAAGGAAGCATGATGCCATTTCTAAAATTATCATCACACCATGACAAAAATAATAATAATTATAAGAGTTGTCTTTACTTTATAAAAGCAAGTTTTGAGTCAGAAAATGGCCAAAATGGTGCAAAGTTATATGGGATTTTATTGACAATGTATTATGGTTTTACTGTTAATGATCATTCCCTTTGTACACCTTTTTCTTTTGGTAAGAGATAATCTTTGGTATGATTTATGATTAGGAAGAAAACATGCTGACCTAAGTGAAATTTTTTTATTAATGGCTGAAATATCCGAACACAATTGCCAGCTAAACCCGCCTAATTCTCAGGATCATAGAATACCTTATAAGCCCAATGTAATTGTACAAATGTAGTAGATATTTCTCCTACGACTTAAACACAAAACCCCTGGGTAGCTTAACGGCTTGTCATCCGGTCACAAGGGAAGAGGTAGAGAAACATCTACTTAATTATGGAAACCAAAACCCTATAAATTGAATCCCGAGTTCATTGGCTAGTAATATAGTTTGTGACACAAAATGCTTGAAAAAAAATTAAATGTACTTTCTAATTCCAAATTATCTATGTTCACTTTCATTTGATTGAGATTTTGAAGCATGAAAACTAGTAGCATTACAATTTCAAACGTAAAACATACAGAACAATGTTGCAAAGAGGCTTCCTGCATCCACTATAATCTTAAAGTATAGAGGTGTTTGTAAAATTATAAGGTGGTTTGCAGATGAAGATTTGAGCGTCATCGTTTCTGGCCTGAGACAGTCTTCTTCACAGCACCCACAGAGACTAAAAACTGATCAAGGGATGACAAGGTTTTCATGTCATCAGGAGGGAAATAACTAGCAGTTTTTCCCATGAGAGATGCGAAGAGGAAAGAGAGCGAAGGTTGAGTAACATAACGCTCGCCTAGAAGGTCATCAAGAAATGCAAATGCAGCTAAGAAATCAGACCTGCTTGCGTTTATCGGAGCTGCAAAATGGGCAGGGATTACTCTCCTGAATCTCCAGTCCCGTGCTATACCATCAATCCAGTCCCGGACCTGAATGTTTAAGAAATTGAGGTTGTCACACTTAGTATGTTTATAGAGCTGATACTAGAATTCATTTCAAATTAAAACAGTATAGCAACAGAATGGTTTCTTTACCTTCTCGGGAACTTTGCTGAATACTAGTGTCTTTACAATTGGTGAAACTATCAATTTCTGTGACATCTGAGCAAAGCTAGCATTAGGTTCCAACAGATTGGAAGGACCAAGGAACAAGATTTGGAGAACCATTCTTTCCCACCCTACAGCAAGAAACTAGGCTCATTCGGTTTCTTCGCAAAATAAACATGTTCATCACCTTTAAGTTGCATCAATGTTGAGGTCAAATTCAATTGGAAAATGAAAGTATGGCATCTTTGGATCACAATGGAATGAAGAACTAACCTTTCTGACGGTTCTTCTGGTTGTCAACTATGGGTTCCTGGGGGACTTCCTTGCCTTTACTAAGAAGTTTTACTGCCAAACCATTCTTTGCTGAGGCTAACAAGGACTCTTTGCTGATACACTCCGGTGGCTTTCGTGGAACAAAAATTACAGCATCTGTAACCAGTAGTGTTCTTGAACGTTTATGATAAAAAGCAACCTCCACATATGGTCCAATTCCTGAAATAGTTAACAAGCAAATGAGCATGTAATATGTAGTATGTAATATGAAGCTTCTTACTGAAGTTTGACACAGGGATACTGCAGTTTATTACCAACTTCCGGTGAGCTTAAGACCTTTTGCTCAATCTCATCAGCCCATGGAGTTGACAAATCCTCATGTTTCAAGGTTTTAGCACGAAAAATCCCAAAAAATTCCAGAGGCAAATTCAAGGGCCAACTCCATTGCCTTGGTGCCACCCATATCTGAGCACGGGGGAATTTTCTTGAAAATGGACCGACAAAAATTTTATGCTCATATGCAAATGTTGGCAGGACAATGTACTCCACTGGAGCTCCCAACTCCTTCACAAGCTGCCAAAATAGCAGGAAATTTTTAGTTAAAGTACGCATCCCAAATTCATTCAAGTACACAGCATATGGAACTTGCCAAAGTCGAGAGTTAAAATAATGTACAGCACAATGGCAAAGAAGAAGTCTCCACAAATGAGAAAAAATAGTGAATATGGAAATTTCTCTCAGAGAAGTTGAAAGCTTCTCTCTTCAAGAATTCAAATATATCATGACATAGCAAGTTGTCACCACTATTTCCTAAGTAAACAGGGCAGGTGATCAGATCCTTATGAATGAGTGTCTCATTTGTACATCCAAGCATGACTGCAAAACCAATTTTCTTTCATCCCTATTATTGTTATATTGAAATAAACCCAACTTTGAAAAACCTGTCGACAACTAAACTCAGAAATGTCATGTGCCCTAAGCTTTCAAAAGCCACCAAATTGTCTGACAGATATACTTATCCAAATAAGCAGTAAATTAAAAATAGAACCTGAATGCACTCCTTAGTTGGAGCAATGGGCGCATGCACCCATAATCCTCCAGATTTAAGCTTGATGACTGTCATCCGGATGTTTGTAGAAACACTGCTGAATCCTAGTGCTTGCTCTTGCTCGAATAGCCATATGCAGCCTTTCACAGCCTATGGTGGAAAAAGCGAAAGAAGAGGAAACTTTCAGAGAAACAAAAACAGAATTACTATACATGACATATGATTGATTTCTGTCATGCAAAATCAATCAAATTTCTATGCACGTTAAAATAGAATTCTTTTATGTCTTATAACATCTTCACTTGCAATCAAAGAAATGTGGTCACCAGTGAACAAAAAATTTTGTTGACACATAAATTCCTTTTAACATTCACTACTTTGGTACGTTGCATATTCATTCTGAGCATCTAAACTACAGATTCTCTACACTAACATTTCCATTTAAAACACTAAATTTTGCAGTGCAGAATGTATTTTCTCTATTCTGATACTCAAAGTATAGTCAACAATCAATGTATATCGAGCAATAAGCTGCCCTTGTTTCCTAATCAGAATAAGAAAGCAGAAAAGAAAAATTCAAAACCCCATTAGAGCATCCTAAAGACACACTTACAGACTATGGTTGTCATTCTGGCATTATCTACTAAACAAACACTCGTATAATTCAAGGTAAACGCCTTATAAACAAGCAATATTGTGAGTTAGAACAATGAAACAGCATCAAATTAACGAGCTATACGCCCAGTTGGTAGTCCGTAGTCTGAGTTCATATGAAGAGGAACCTTATGCAGAAAGGAGCAATATATCATAATTTTATGCTTTATTCTTTGACTCCAAAAATCCTCAATGATTAAGAAAAATTTATAAACTCAAATATCAAATATCATAAGTCCACATGAAGTGACATAATGAAAATTCTCAAATATCATACTAAAGATTTTTCTTGATACACCTCAAATAACACAAACAATATATATATATATATATATCTTCAAGCTAGCTACATGCAATCAACCAAAAACATTCTTCTTTTTTAAGAACTTATTAGAGTGGATTTCTCAAGCTGAAAACTCTACCAAAAACATGTGATTTGACTACAGCTTAAATGAATCACAAATAAAATTATTTAAAGATCACTAAAGTTTGAAAGAAGCTAACCTCAGTCCTGATAGTGCGCCTATTGAGAAAAGGGCCGAGAGGAAATGGGAAACCAGTAAAGTTGAGATAAAACCTGCCACTTTCACTGTTACTACTTTTTGTTAAGTCACCAACTGAAGCAACCACCAAAGTGGTGAAATTTCTTGTTTTGCTTCTGGGTTTCAGCTGCAAAGACAGACCGTTCAAGGACCCACCAAAAAAACTTGAACTGGGGTCTCTATGAGGAACTGGGTTGTGAAAAAGTTTTGATTTTGGAGAAGCAACAGCAACGGCTGCCACCATTGTTTCAAACCGAGTCTATTTTTTTTCTACCATTAACCAACAAGAAGAGAGCTCAATAGTTGAACAGGAGCTGTGGGGACAGAATTTACAGGACCCAGAAATTGGAACTACAGGCTATGTTTTTGACACGTGGAGGCTTATGTTAGATTGCCCTACATGGAAATTCTGAGTAGTTTTTAATTATTGTGGATGATGAGAAACAATAGCTACATCAAGAGACAAAAAAAAAAAAAAAAAAAACTTGATTAGTCTAACCGTGTAAGAAAGACTTCTCTAGAATTGCCAGGCCACTAGAGTTGCATACTTTGGGCTCCCAAATTCTTCAAAATTATTAGTATGTTCATCTATTAGAAGCTCCATCTTACCATTTATTATTTAGTTTCTGTTTACTCCTGGTGGGTTTTGTTATTGCACTCTTTGTTTTAAGCAATAAATTCCCAGGAATAATTCTCATATTATGGATGATAAGAGCATCTGCCATGTTTGTGCTTCGGTAGTGTCACTAAAGTTGGGCATCTAGTCTGAAAAAACCTGACTGCAACCGCCTTCAAGGTGTCAATGACCACCTTCTTAAACTTCAAGCTCGGTCGACAATCAAAGGCCTGAGTTACAGTGAGTTTTCAGACCCTCCAACTAAGTAAACAAGTTCCGATGACCAAGATGTTACACCAATGAACCAGTGGAAGTGTGTAATAGTCCAGGTTAAAAACTGAGTTTCAGAATTGTAAAATAAAAAATGTACAAATATTCTATTGCGATATTTCAAACGGCAGCAAAAACTGAATACAAAGGTCATACTCAAATCTGTTACTGAATCACCAAAAAGCTTCAACTGTTTTCTACATCGATGGCCATTTAAATGCAGAGGCAGAGCACCAAAATTAAAAAAAGCAAAAGATTCATATTAAGCAATATAAAAATGAACACAAAGGGAGATCACCCAGCTCCAGCAAGACTATATCCTTGCATGGCATTATCTGGGCTCCAGAAGATGCCAAACACTCCCTGCAGGAGATGCAATCACACCCCGCTGTCGAAAACATATATTCATATTTTACTGATTCCATTCTAACTGACTGAGAAGAGAAGAAAAGAAACATAACAAGGACAGAACTATTACAAAGCTTTAATTAACATCAACCTCATCACATAAGGGAAGTTTCTTGCCATCATCATTTCAACTACATACTAGCAATAGCTCTGCATATTCACTGAGTAGACATTACATTTTGTCTAAACCTTCATTACCAGCAATCTACCAAATCCCTGCAATAAACATCACAACTATCATACAATCCACATCCTAAAGGCACTGAAAGGTTCTGATCATTAAAGACTTTAAGAGAAACTAGCATTGAGTAGCTTTGGCGGTGACAACTGGGGAAATCTTTAGAAGCTAAAAAGTCGACGAATTGAAGAGTTGATGACACACAGATAAAGGAATGTCATCTTATAGGTCCAAACTTCTATTCACAGTGCTTACAAATAAAATCCAGTAGCGTCTCACGTGATTATCTCCTTCACAAGCCAATCCAAACTAGGATACGCGAAGTAAAGAATGAGAAATGATGGCAGAGCAAACAAAATAGTGACAAGTATGTACAAGGCCAAGATGGCTGCACTGGCAGGTATTGCATACAGGACAATCAGAAGAAATATGATAACCAGTGGGAACTTGGCTGTCAGATGAACAAAGAAAAGCAGAGACTTTCGGAGGGAGGAATGCATTCTCTCCACACTGAGGTAATTATTAACATGAAGGTGATCATGGTTTGATCCTAATGGCTCAGCATGATGATTATGTTGTGCCCTCCTGTAATTACCACAACTCACTTGATTTCCAAAACTTAAACTGTTGTTTGTTGGCCAGGATTGCAGATGATCTTCACAAAAACCAGAATGAGACTTTGATCTATCACCATTCATGCTCTCAACCATCCAAAGTAGAAAATAATTCTTGCGAGGGAATTTGAGGTTTCCCTTGTAAATCAGGCGGAAAGACAAGAGATTGCACCATGGACAGGAGATAAAAAGGGGAAGCTGAATTGGTAAAGTAGGAAATTTCACAACTGCCCATTGCAGTCCTAGGATGCAGTTTTTACAAAGAGTATGGCCACACCATAAAACATAAGGCACATTTTCCACAATGTTGAAGGATTCCCAACATATTGGGCACTCCAGACCTTCCTCTCTGCTAACAATAGAAGACACTTCATCATCTGAGCATTCTGAAGCAGTTTGAGTTAGCTTTAGAGAGTCATTTTTCAATCCAACATTTCCAGCAATACAATTGGAAGCAAAGTTCCACATTTTGATAGTTTGGGGCAAATGACTATACCAACAACATCATGTGCTACTATAGTAGAAACTGAACCTCGCAATGGAAACCAATATCCATCAACCAAAACCCTGAGAATGTCCTTCAAGTTATGACTGCAAGCAATACAGCTCTCACAAGTGAACCTGGAAGGAAAAGTGTAAATAACTTGATATACTGAAAGATAGGTAATATATTCAACAACAAAATTTAACAAGTTATTGAGATAAAACCCAAGATCTCAAATTATTGAGATTCCTATTAAAATAATAAGTTTAAAAAGGATGAATTTCACCGCAAGCCCCGTAACTCCCAAATCTCAAGATTCAACCAATTTTTCAATTGTTCTTGTATTTTACTTTTTTCAGGCTTTCAATTTCCTTTCTCTATACCAGAGAAATCATAACTGCAGATCGTAAAAATTCCAGAGTTCAAAGTTCAAAATCCCCTACTTTCAGTATGTTTACGATCACTGCTTTAAGCTAGAGCAATAACTAGTCCATATTCATTTCTTGCTTCATTTGGGTTCAATCAATGAGAACAATAAGAGCCTAAACAGCCAACTCAGTGCCTAACAATTATAACGATTCAACTCAATCAAATTCTTTTGTTGGTGCAAACAGTGCATCATTTCACATTTTATATACCCTAGATTAATATAATGATATCACAACCAACCAAACACCAAAACTAAAATCAAACAACTAAATCCAAGAATTAAACAAACAAAAAAACCTCACAAAAGCTAAAAAAATTTGAAAAATATACAACAATACATGATTAAACCCTAATTATATAAGCATAAAAGAAATAAGACCTAACTATCGATCAAATACGATCCCAGAAACAAAATCGAGCGAAACGAAAAACCCAGAAACATTTTATCGTAATTAACGTGGGATCCGCTTGGACTAAAAAATTATTAACCAATTAAGAGGCGATCTTACCGGTTGACTGATGAAGAGAGAGAAAAGAAGGAGAGGGTTTTGAGTGAAAGCCTCCAGTTCGTTCTCTCTCTCTCTCTCTCTCTCTCTCTCTCTGAATATGAGTATTGAAGAAAAAGAAGAAGGACTAAATTGATAATTTTGTATTTGTTTTTTTGTGGGAAGTTGAGGATTTCATGGGCTGTGACCTGTGAATGAAGGAATTCTTCTTCAATTTCAAGTATTTTCAACTACCTATGGTCGCCATTAAAGAATTCGAAAACGAAAGCGTTTTGATTGTCGGTATCTTCAAAACGCTGCGTTTCCCCCGAAGATGATTGGCTTGCCTTAGTTTTTGGGTTATAAGAAAACAATGTAATTGGAGAGGGCATTTTTGTAAATACAACTTCTAAAATAATTTATTAATTTTTTAGATCTTTCTAGATTTGGAAAGCAATTAAAATTTAAAATAGTGTTTAGTGTACAATCTAAAGTCCCGAACACGTTTAATTACTTTAAGTATGATTTGTACACACATAAACAAAAAAAAAAAAAAAAAAAAATATTTTTCTAGGGGTACTTTGTTTTATTATTGAATAATGTTATATTTACATCACCATTTTACACCATTTTCATTATATCATGATGTGACATATGTCACAACCACACAAATTCTATTATAATGTTAAAAATTTAAAATAATTAAAATTTTGTGTGGTTGTGGCATATGCCACATCATGATGTAATGAATATGGTATAAAAGAGTGGTATAAATATAGTATTACTCTTTATTATTTTGGATAGGATTTTGAGAATAGTATTGGGTAGTTGAATAAGCGAGTATTACGAGGTAAAATTTAAAAATTTATAAAGAAAAACCCTTAAATTTGCTAATTTAACTAAACACCCCGATATATAAAAATTTTGTAAAATGATAAAAACACCCCCACCCACCCACAGTGCCAGATTCCGGCCACCACCGTTGGAATTTGGCCAGAAAATGGCGTCACGATGCAGACCGGTCGGATCTGACAGGTAGGGCGTCGATATGGCCTTTTCCGGCCAAATCTGGCCGTCGATGGTTGAAAAAGTTTAGATCTGGCCGTCAGCGACTGCCAAAGATATGGTTGTCGTTTTCGATCAACGATAACCAAGATTTGGCCGTCAGATCTGGCATTTTCTACCTAGATCGATAAATTACCGGCCAATTCCGATCGTTTGTAGGCCGTTGTAACAGATTCCGATTACCACCAATGGTGGTTACCGGAATCTGGTAAGTATGGGTAGGTGGGGTGTTTTTGTTAATTTTTAAACTTTTTTTCTGGAGGTATTTAATGAAATTAATAAAATTAAGGGGTATAAAAGTAATTAAAAATATACTAATATTTCTTAAATAACAAAACAAACAATATTTTGGAAATAGGATTGAAAATATGGGTAGAAATAATGTGCCAAACAGAGCCTAGAATGTTGGTTGAATATTTCAATTTGTAGGTTTCAAAAATATTAAAATAACAACTTGTTTTTTTTTTTTTTTTTAGGCAACCAAATGTTCGGACCAGTTTACGTACACTTCGACTAATCTTCAAAAAAGACTAATGCAACAATTCACCGTCATGACCTCTTACTTAAATCGCGGATGCTATCTACCGATGGTTTAGAATAACAACTTAGATTATGAATTATGACATTGCAATTTGATTTGCATGTTTGATTATGATATTTTCGAAGTGGGTTTTTCTTAAATTCAATTTTAGAACCAATTTTTCAATCAAATAACTAGTGTTCAGTATAAAAATTCTTTAATAGTTGTCTTAAAGTGTATATTAATATCCTTAACGAATAAAAAAATGATTTTTTAAATATATTTTATTTTAAAATACATATATATATATCAATATGATCAATTTTTTATTTGTTCGTGATTCGTGAGCACACGTTAAAACAATTTTATAATCTGAACACACCCATTAACTCCTAACATTGACTATTTGAAAAGCATCTAAAAAAAATTACATATTTGATTGTTATAATTAGCGGTGGGCAGGGACTGGTCTGGGACCAGGGACCGGTCCTAGTCCCTTGGGATTGGTCCCAAATGGACCAGTCACTCATGATCCCAGGCCCATGTGAAAAATTAAGACCCGGACCAGGCTTTAGGCCTGATAGGGACTGGTCTCATGAAGCTTGGATAATTTTTTTTACCCCTTGATTTTTTTTATATTTTAAGGTAAAACAAAATTTTATAGGGGCCTTTTAGTTTTTTTTTTTAGGGGTAAATTTTATAAATTTGTTTTATTTTAACCCTCGTAATTTATATTTATTTCAAAATTAATAAGGGTTTTTATGTAATTTGACAAGGGACTATATTGAAAAAATACAAAAAAATTTGGGCCTAGGCTAGGACAGGCCCTCCTCCTTAGGTCTGGTCCCGTTTTAGGACCAAACCTCTTAGGTCCGGTCCTCTCAAGGACCGGTCCTAGGACCAAGTTTTGGAGCTGGGCTTTTGGGCTCGGTCCCAAATGCCCAGCTCTAGTTATAATTATGAAAATGAGTTTCTAAACCACTTGGCTCTTGTTCGAGTCTTATCAAGTGGTCATCTACCATATTTGTAACTTACTTAACGTATTTGTAGAGTGTTCGATGGATCCCGAGATTAGTTAATGTGTATGCAAACTGGCCCGAATACCCCGATTATAAAAGAAGAAAAAATGAGTTGAGTTTAATACATCAGATGCCTTCTCTCAAATATATCTAATTGCTTATAATAAAAAATCATACATAACATAACATGCTTGAATTTCATATACAAATAATTATTAAAAAAAAAAAAAGAAAAAAAAGTTGTATTGTAAATTTAAATGAGGATATTGCTAATTTCTTAATCCAACCCAACTAGACCCACTACATTGCCTGCCACTACTAGCCCAACTCTTATGTCCTTGTAACTTAGAAATAAAAAAAAAAATCTTTTAATTTTTTTCTAAGTTACAAATAATTTTTTAATAAAATTTTCCTATTGGGAATTACAATAACCGAAATTTTGCCACTAATCAAGGTGGTCATGTGGTCTTACTGACATGAAAATTGCTGCATATTGTCTAAGCCTAGTCTCGATGCCCCCACTGCCCATTTCAGGATTCATAGGACCTCTAATCCTCATCCTGTATTTTCTCCAAGCAAATTGTATGTTCACAGCTGCCCAGGTTCTCCAATTCGATGAGTAATATCTGGCTGTTCGCTTCAGCTTTTCGTTGGCGAATTTGTACCGGAAGTGTTCCGTAATGTACCTCAGATGGTGAGAATCAAGAGCGTATGCTTCCATGGCTTCTGCGCAAGTAAATGTCGCTGATGATACAGGTAAACGGTCTGTAAAAGGGCGACGAAGGCACCAGGAGAGCAGCTCGTCGCCTAAAAAGCCTCCTGGTTCTAGCACACTTGTGGCTACATTGCCTTTGTTTAGAGTTTGGCTCCGTTTTATTCGCCCGCGAACGATGAACAACATCCTCGTCACTGGATCGCCTTCTCTAATTATCTGTTTACACAAACATTTTCTGAATACATATACACAGTATATCGATTGAGGTAATGTAAAGTTGCAAGATAGTACCTTTTCATCCCTAGAGTAAATAAGGGGTTTCACTCTGTCACATATGTTGTCGAGAATAAGATCATCCAAGTTGTGGAATAATGGCACCTGAGGATAGAGAGATAGAATCCATAGGATTATTCAATTTCAAAGAAATTGTAAATTTTTTTTTTTTTTCGATGCTCAGGGTGTTCGGATCAGATTACGTACACTTAAACTAATCTCTCGGAACCTTGAAACTACTAACTGGATAAGAGTTTCAGTGGTTACCCTTATTAACAATCGAGAAAAAACTCAATTTCAAGACCTTTTGTGTAATAAACTTAAGTGTCTTTATCGAACCACTCAACCAACCATCTAAAGATAATTTCTAAAGATAATTAGAAATCGTAAATTTTACACAAAGATAATAAAGTTACCTTTTTTATGAGGTCTAGACAAAGATGACGTTTAATATCCCTCCGGAGTCCTTCAGGCAGGTCATCTATCCATTGCAATTCATCCTCTCCCATCGTTGCCCATCTCTGACGTTCGAAATGGCGTACTCGCCATCTCAGACGAGAGGGCAATTGTCTCCGTCTCATCCACCATTCCATATCTCGACTTCTCAGTTGCATTTTCTTCTTCCTTGCCATGACCACATGAAGTAACACCTTCAAGCAAAATAAAAGGGTGGTCCTTAATTAATTAATTAGACTAAGAATTCATGAAATGTTCATCAATCATTACAGAAAAAAAAATTAAAGCTCAAATCACCTGGATATTCCCAACCAATAATGTGAAGAGGGATAAGCCACAGAGCACAATACATATACTGAACATCACTTCTAGCAAGTCACTTGTGGGCTCAAGTTCATTGCCAAACGAGCTGCAAAATGTTAGCACAACAAATGATCAGCGTCGGAAATTTCTCAGGTACAGACCTAATTCTGATTCTTTGATGGTAGGATAATTACCTCAGGTTTAGTAATCCCCAGAATATGGGATAAAGAATGGTGTCAGCAAGAGAATTACTAGAAATGACAGGAAGGGCAGCAGCATATATCCCATATTTGAAGGGTCCATTGTCATCCAAGCACGATGATCTCCCGATCATCGTTGGCAACGTTTGAGAACCGTCGCCGATTTTCGAGCAAAACGGAGAAAAATCACCACAGTGTTTACTCCTTTCACATTGTTGCTGGAGGCATGAAACAACACGTTGTGTGGCTAAAGCATACCAGCATCCCCCTGTAACCTGCAAAATGAACCCATTTTTGCTCAATGTGTCCTCAGGATTAATGAAATGAAATTGAATCGAATGTTGCTGCAGAATCTGATGTTGATTATATTTACATGTGAGAAAATTAAGTAGGCAATCAGATTGATGCTGAAGCCCCACCAAATGGTTCCGAAAATGAAACCTGTAACTTTGGTCATTCTTCTCATCAAAGTCAGGCTGTGGTACACTTTTGGGAAGAACTGGAACATGATCATTAGCAGAAGAATTGACATTATCTGCTTAATTTCATCTTCTCGGATGAGCTTCGGAATTATTAACCACAAGACTGCCTGCAAAATAATCAAAGAAACAAGGTATAATACTTGCTTAATTTCATAAGCTCCTGATTCCTCACGGACATGAATGATTATTAAAAGGTTTATTTGGTTGTCAATTTTAAAGTCTCGAAGAATTAGTTAAATTGTACATAAACTGGTTTTGAACACCTCCGATTATCAAATAAAAAAAAAAAATATATATATATATATATAAATATACACCCCTGTTTTAGAAGATATATTATGGTATTATGAAATCATGAGGTGTCGAGATATGATTGGATAGGGGAAATCGGTTACCTGTGGGATTGGTAGTATGACAAAAACATCAAGCCAAAATCCAGTAAGAGACCTCACGTAATGTTGGGCGATCGCACGTGCGTCCCACACGAGTTTCCCACACCCCACGACAAGGGACTCCTTGGACACGTAAGCCAATCTGAACTGAAGCCAGATGTGAAAGAGATGCACCACATCAACACACGTGCGAACAACGCTCACCAGCACTGCCAACTCAGCGTCCAAGTGGACACACGGGACCCCACTCTCGCCTATATACAACGAGAACACGTAGAAAAACATAGGATCGACGGCCAACGCGACACCACGTGCCACCAACAACACCCTATTCCACTTTCGTACAAACTCGCTTCGTGGATCCAAAACCGAACCGAACCGAACCAGAAAACCCTCATCTCGGGTCGAACCGACGACAGTCTTCATGTCGGGTTGTTCGGGTTCGACCCGGATGGGGATGAGGGATGACCCAGCTAAAGCCTGCCATTTGGGGCGGTGGGCACTGTCACAAGTAGTAGAGTGGAAAAAAGGAATACCCGGTTGAGTACTACAAGTGTAGCACTCAACAGAGTTAGAAAAACTCTTGGTGGCTTCAACCATTGAAGCTTGAGCTTGAGCTTGAGCTTGAGAATCAACCCACCTAAGAAAATGCGAATAAAGTAGTGAGTTTCCTTCTAAATGAGAAAATGAAGAAGATGAAGATGAATAAAAATGAAAAGTGATGAAGACCTTGTAGGGGAGAGGTGATGGAGCTCAATGGAAGAGAGAGGCATGGTGGAAGAAGAAGAAGAAGGTTGAGAGAGAGAGAGAGAATTGGGAAGTTTATTTGTAGTGAAATTAGGCCAGGGAGTGTCATGTAGTGCATGAAGTGGGTGTCTTGGCCGTAAAGAAGAAGAGCCACCTTTGTATTGCATGTGTTTTTGTGTGTTTGAGATTACCAATACTTTTTTTGGCTCATCTCTTTAACATATATTTTTTAAATAAATAAAAAAAAAAACCCCATTTTATAAAAGTATTTCTACTCAAAAATGCTAAATGAGGTAGTTTCTAGAATCCCTTTAATCAATGAGTAATACTACACATATAATATTTCTCATACAACATTATGTGATAAGATATGATTAGTTAATTTAAAATTAAAATTAAACTTTCACCCAATCACATCTTGTCATATAATGTTGTATGAGAAATGTTGTATGGGAATGATGTATGTGTAGTATTATTCTTAATCAATTTACCCAACATTTTCATTGATTTAAGTTTGGAAATGGAAACCACTGTTAGGTGGTTGAGTCTCTAACTAGGATTTTTTGCTATATTACTTAACAGGTCTTAAGTTCAATTCACATTGACTCTTAATAAGAGTGGTCATTAAAACTCTTACCCGACCAATAGTTTCATGATCCTAAAAGATTAGTTAAAGTGCACACATACTGATCCGAACATCTCGATCATAAAAAAAAAGTTTGGAAATGAAGTTTGTGCATTAACATAAGTCTCTAAATTTTGGACACAATATTTTATAGGTCTTGAGTTCGAATCACCTCGGCTCCTAATATGGATGGTCACTAAAGTTTTTATCTAATATGTAATTTTAAAGATCCGAAAAATTAGTTAAAGTACACATAAATTAGCTCCATCATTCCATCATTTAAAAAAAAAAAAAAAACTTTAGGGATGACCGTCCATAAATTATGGATGGCCGTCCCTTGATTTTTGAGGTGCTTTTCCATCATTTAAAAAAAAAAAAAAAAAAAAAAGTTTGAAAATGAAGTTTGCATTAACACGAGTTTCTAGATTTTGGAAAATGAAGTTTGCATTAACACGAGTTTCTAGATTTTGGACACAATAATTTATAGATTCGACATGATTTGTTAAACAAAGTAAAGTGAACTAAAAGGATACCTTTTTAGGAAGGTAAGAAAACAGTTGGTTAAACATGTGTCTGTCACAAGAAATGTCCTTAATTTGGATTCATTCATTGTCCTTCATATATTATTCAATTTTTTTGTTTGCTATATATTTAATTCTAATTATGTAATGGTGTGTAATACTCTTCTTTGTTTACCTAATATCGGTTTATTGTTAATTAATTAAAATATTAGTAAAATAAATGGGAAAAATATAATTAATGGTATGGTCAAAGTAGCTTTTCATTTTCAGATTTTTTTTTTTTTTTTTTAATTGATGGTAATGATGAGAACAAATGAGATCGTATATATTTTAAAGCATATTTTTTTGAGTCCCTCTGTCTTTGTATGCTTCTTCTTGAAATTAATTACAATATCTTCAATTATACGTATGTGGTTGAATTTGAGATACAAGTTTCAAAATTAAGAGATAAAAATCAACCTCTCTATCAAGAGCTATAGCTTCAATTTCAAAGAAGATAAAATAAAACAAAATTTAAAAAAAATTAAAAATCATGGAAATGGTATTATTATATGTTTTCTAATAAGTGATAAGGATTTATGTACGGTCATAAAATGAAGGTTCATATATGTATGCACATGTATATATAATTCAATACGTCTTGTCTCTCTCACCTCGTTTCATTTATCTTAAAACTTACGTATTTAATTTGATGTATATTTTGTATCATGATTTATTATAGAATTCTTCGTGTACTGAAAGATATAGGTAAAATTTAATTACCTTTATTCGGAATTACGGTTAAAAGTTGATTTTAAATGGGTTGATAAATTATATATAATAACATAGATTAGTTTAAATAACATGTTGAATTAGGGTTCATTAGGGATAGATTAAGATTGATATTCAATGGGTTAATAGATAGAATTATGAATCTATGATACATATGAACTCGTTTAATGCTTCTTAGTAATAAATTAATCGATCTGAATCAAAATTCATTTTCTCTACCTACACATTCATCGATCAATTTAATGACACGATTAATTAAATGTATTTTATCAACTTTTTATATACATAATATATAACTCGACCCAAATCTCAAAATTTTCAAAAGATAAAATGAAATTATATATAAACTCCGTCACAAGAACAAGGTATATAGTTAGTACAATTCATTTTGAGGATAGGAATATATTTTTTTCAACAATAATGATTTACTTATAATTGAGTGATACAACTAAACAAAAATTGTATAAAATTTATGTAAAATGACTATTTTGTCATTTGTTTTTTGTCTGGTTGTATTACTCAGTTGTAAGCATAACACTGCTCTTCTTTCAATAGAGAATCGAATCTTTCTTCTCTTTCTACATTTATATACAATAGTTTTCTTGCCAACATAGAAAAAAGATTTGGAATATTTCAGAAGAAAGAATCAACAGTTATTTTAAAGCAGAAAAGTAAAGAAGACAATCGATTTACCTTGATTCATTCCACTAAAGGAACTACGTCCAATATTCAAATAGAGTAATTTTATTGAGTTTCAGAAATTTACAGAATACAATAATCTTAAAGTATCGACAGTTCACTCTTGTTCTTTATTTTTTTTATTTTTTATTTTTTTAACTCTCTGCAAAACTTTTGAATTGTTTGATTTGATGCATGGATGGATAAATGGACCATCTTCTATCTTAGAAACAGTTTTTACCCCCGTGTTATTACTATTCAAAGTACTCTCTCTCTCTCTCTCTCTCTCTCATCTGTATCTTGTTGTTGCTCATGAGTTTCCTTAATTAGCATCATCTGTCTGATTTTTGTCATTTTTATAGAGATCGGAATCCTCCAGAAATTGATCCAAATCTTGCATAAATATGTGTATCTATATGTCTTGTCTTGTAAATATGCTAATATTACCATATATTGTTTATTGAAAACCTGGATAATTCAAACTCTGAAGTAGCCGATGTTTAAAGTTCAGGATTCTCTCTTAATCTTAATTTTATTGTAAACTAAAATCATTTAAAGTATAGATAAATTCATATCAGAAAAGAGTTCCCAAAAAAAAAAAAAAAAAACTTTGTAGTTTTGAGATATGTGACGCTGAACTTATCTCAGAGTGACGATTTGAAGAAATAAACAATTAGAACTCTAAATCTAATTAAATTTAAGATCATGAAAAGGGATTAAAGTTTATAGTAATTTTCCCACTTATGGAGCATTGAAAACTCCTTTTTTTTTTTTTTTCATTAATTAGAATATTCTCTCTGGGAAAATTCCCACCTCTTCAACTTTTTCCAGAAATCCCATCAAATTAAATACTTCTCTCCATCTCTTTCCTTTTCCTGTACAAGCCGTGAACACTTAAAATATTTCTCAAAACCCTAAATATGAAATCTCAATCTCAAGCACATAAATATAAATCCAAGAACTACAACATATACATAACATATGAACTTTGCGTGAGAGACTGAGAGTGGAAGGTTCCTCAATTGCATAAAAACAATACAATACCGTACTAAATTCATGTTTGTTTTCAGTTTCATGATAAGCAACGTTAACAATCCAAATTTACAGTAGGTTATATATATATAGCCATTAAAGCATAAAGGGAATTAAAAAAGAAGAACAAAGGGACAATGTAGGGACTAGGGACCCAATAATTTCAAGAAATGGTATCTTTGATTCTTGATGTTAAATTCTTTATAATATAAAAATATGTATAGATATAGACCTGTTATTGGCTTGCCTTTTAATTTTGATGCCTCGTGAATTTCATAGATTTTGTTGGCTTCTTCCAGATTTTGACGTTTGATTCCTTTCTTTTTGCCTTAGATAAGGTTCTTCCTGTATATTATTACATCAAACTAACACTGTTCAAATTGGCGTTTAAAATATTCAAAGACTTTTAGGTGTGAACGTCTTTAAATTTTTAACGTTCAAACCAAGTGTTTATCCTACACCACACCACGGTGAGTCGCAGCGAGGGCATATGCCTCTTGTGGTGCGCATACGTGACACGCCCTGATTGGCGTTCGATACAATTATAATGCTAGACGGTCTGATATTCGCAGAGTTTCTAGGGTTAGTGTATGGCAACTCTAAGGACGTTTTCAGAATATGAAAACTCGTCGAGGACAATTATAAAAAAGTTGTGTTTTTTGAATATATGTATTTGTATTTTATAACTTTTTGTTGAAGTTCATCCTAATGAAAAAAAAAAAAAAATATAGTTATAATTGGTTCAATTTTTTTTTTTTGTTTATTTTTTACCCCCATCGAGTGAAATTCCTGGATCCGCCACTGTCTAAGGTGTACTGCAATACAAAACCATTTTGTCAAGAAGATGATTAAAAATTTCAGGATGGTTATACAATAAGTTAGGAATATAATAAAGTATATAATATGTTAATTAATTAGTTGATTCGATCAAATAAATTAATATATTATTGAGTTGTAAATTAAAATGACCCACCAAGTTAAATAATTTAGCCATTTTGTTTATCTTCTTTTAAGAAAGGTGATACAAGATTTTGACAATCGATCTTCTCTTTAGTCTAATCTGAAAAAAGATACTGGAATAATGTAGATCTTTTAAAGCCGACAGCAATTAATTAATTTTATAAATTTCAAGTTTTTTCTTTTTTTCTTTTTTTTTTTGGTCTTGGCCTTTAGCAAAACGTGTTGCACGCAGGTGACTAATAATTGTACGCAAGGTTTAATTTTCAAGATCCCATCGTGAATAGAAGTTAAGAATTTTTTAAATTATTTTATGGTGTCGAAACAGTAAAGAGATGATTGAAACTAAAGATAAATAAGTGATATGAAAAACCACTATCAAAAAACTACCATCAAATTGTATTAAGATTCAGATACTGTATAAATTGTAAACGTCAATACTTCATTAACATATAATAATAAAAAATGGTTGTTCCTAGGGTTGAACAGGCTTTAAATAGTTCTCTTTCAAATGGTAATGAAAAAACAAAGGAAGTGAAAATTAAACAATTATCACATAACAGTACCAAAACATTTAGAAACTTACAAAAAAGACCCTAGAAATTTAAAAAGTCCAAAAAGCCCTCAAAACGACCTTGAAAGGATAAAAAATGACAACTCTCATGAAAAAAACGAGTTTTCTTCATTTGGCCGTCTCAGAGTACCCAATAAAAAATCATCGCATTCTGACATCGTCAACACTATTCAACCTTTGCAACCCTACATCATTTTTTGTTTTTTTGGAAACATTGTCATATAGTTTTAATAAATTTTACTGTCAGTTAAACATCTCTTGTGTTCCTAAAGTTTTCAAGTATGGCAGTCTACCTTTTTTATTTTTTATTATTTAATTTATCTTATAACGTCAATAAACACAAAAATCATATTATATAATTTGATACGATAAAGTTTAATTAAATTTTTTTAATTGCACTTATGATTATATATTAGAGTTAACTTTATTTATTTTTCGCATGATTTTACGATATATGAAGTGTTAAACAATCAAAGAAAATAAAAAAAGAGGAGGCTAGGGTTTCATTAATATGCACAATTAATTGAATAAAAAATGATTAACCAAATACAAAGATATATATATAGGCTAAATAAAGGAAATAATGAAAAGACAAATCTACCCTTAATAAGCAATAAAACAAAATAACCCAATTTCAACATCTCCCCTCAAAATCACGATGCGGCGCGCTACAAATCGAGAGTTTGCCAACTAGAAAACGAAAACGGGAAATAGAATGCGACTTGGTAAAGAAATCTGCAATCTGCAAAGAAGAAGAAACAAAGGGCAAGGTAATGGTGCCATGCTTGAGATGATGACGAGTAAGGTGACAATCGATTCAATGTGCTTAGTTCGTCATGAAAAACCGAGTTGTGAGCAATGAATAGAACTCTGGTTGTCACAATACATAGGAGTGGGATGAGAAAAAGAAAACGCCATATCTGCAAGTAACCAACGTAACCAAACAATCTCTTTGGTAGTAGATGCCATAGCACGATATTCTACTTCGGTTGAAGATTGAGAAACAATGGATGTGTTCTTGCTCTTCCAAGAATAAAGACAATCACCCAAAAAGATACAGAAACCAGTAACAGACTTGCGATCTGGGGATCACTGCCATGATCAGCAAGAGTATGCCGCACTCCAAGGAAGAGGTGAGGAAGTAAGACTTGAAAGATGTACCCCGAAGATACCGCAAAATACGAGAAACAGCTGCCCAATGAACTTAGTAGGAGAAGCAACAAATGGCTAACAACATGAGCAGCATATGCAATATCTGGACGAGTAATAGTGAGATATACCAAACTCCCAAAACAGTACGGTATAAAGTGGATCTGACAAAGGTAAACATCAGAAGAAGAATATTTTGCATTAACCTCAATCGGAGTATCGACAGTCTTATTATCAGTAAGTCTAGCGTTCAAGAATATATGCAACATATTTCGAATGAGAGAGAAGATAACCTTGGTGAGTAGGCTACCTCAATACCAAGAAATATCGTAGAGAACCCAAATCCTTCATTTCAAACTGTTGAGCTAACTTTGTCTTCAAAACTGAATACCACAATATCATCACCCGTAATAATCATGTCATCAACAATAAAGACAGAATGATACGACCTGCATCAGTGCACTTAACAAAAAGAGCAGAATCATGACTACTAGAAGCAAATCCAAGGGAAGAGATCACAATAGAAAATTTCTCAAACCAAGCACGAGGTGCTTGTTAAGACCATAACGCTTTCTTCAGCTTGCAAACATACCCAGAATCATGTGAAACACCAGGAGGGGGCGCCATATAAACTTTTCTTGAAGATCCCATTCAGAATGCATTTTAACATCAAGTTGAGATATGCCACTGACGAAACGAAGCTACTGCAATAGAGTACGAATAGTAGTCATTTTTGCAACGGAGCAAATGTCTCTATAATCCATACCATACTGTTGAGAGTACCCTTTTGAACCAACCTAGTTTGTATCGCTCAATGATCCATCAGAATTGTCTGATCTTATACACCCAACGACACCAACAACAGTCTTACCAGGAGGTGAGGAACCAAATCCAAGTACCTGTCTTATGCAAAGCAGAAAGTTCCTCATCATAGCTTGCTGCCAAAGAGGATCAAGAATTGCCTCTTTATAGGAAGAGGGCAGAGAGACAATGAATAGAAGCTAAAAAAGAAGCAAAAGATGAAGAATAACAAGAATAAGCAAAATCTGGTAACTTGTGGACTTATGAATGCGTATGGATTGACGTAGGGTGGATCCACAATCTCAGACGAAGCTTGAGTGACCATAGGAGAAGAGGGAGCTTCAAGTGTGCTGGGGGAGAGTAAAGTGCAGTACCTGCAGAATGATCAGTAATAGGAACCTGATGACAAACTATCAGAATCCTCAGAAAAAGGATCTATCGAATAGATTAGATCTAGTCAAGGTATGAGTAGTGGATGGAATAGAAAAGAAAGGTATATGCTCAAGAAAAACAACATGACGGACACATAAAGTTTGAGTTATTGGATCAAAACAACGAACCCCTTTTACCTTCACCATAACCAAGAAAGACACAAATAACAGATCGAGAGGACAACGCTGCGTTTACATGAGGACGAAGAACAAAACAAGTACAACCAAAAACTTTAAAGGAAAAATCAGGGCATACCCATAACTTTCGAAAGGAGAAAAACTTGAAATATGAGAAGATGGAATTGTATTAATCAAACTACAGCAGTAGAAACAGTCACCCCAAAACACACTAGGAACAGAGGAAGACAATAAGAGAGAACGAGCAGTTTCAACAATGTGCCTATGTTTCTTTCAACCACACCATTTTGCTCAGGAGTATTTGTACACGAGGTTTGGTGAACAGTCCATCTAATGCAAGCAACACTCAAAAAATTATTAGAAGTGTATTCCCCACCCAAATCACACCTAAAACATTGATAATAGCAGAATGTTGAGTTTTGACAAGAGCTCGAAGGCTGTATATATTTCAAAAAATTCAGAACGATGTTCATTAAATAAACCCAACAATACGAGTAGATCATCAATAAAAGAGACATAATATCGAGACCTTCCTTTGTGGCAACAGGAGAAGGTCCCCATACATCAGAATGAATCAACTCAAATGGAAAAGAAGAAACAGAAATACTTCGATTAAAGGTAAAGCTGAAAATTGCCAGTTTACATCCACTACAATCAGAAATATCACAAGTTGAAATTTCCTAAAGCCCCTGTGGATGCCAAAAATCTCAAACGAGAGAAGACGAAACATGACCTAAACGAGATGCCATAAATAAAAACTAGAAGAAGAAGGACTCAAACGAAAAAAGAAGACAAATCAACACTAGTAGCGCAGCATCAGCACTAGTAGTAGCAGCAGCAACTGGCACTTTTAACTCATCCAAAATATATAGTCCCCCTTCCTACGGCCTGTCCCAATCAGCTTCTAAGACTGTAGATCCTGCACATACAAAAGAAGAGGGAAGGTGACTAAATTACCAGAATCACATAACTGACCAACAGAAGCAAGATTTAATGTAAGTTTTGGAAATGATAAACATTAGAGAGAGACAAGTGAGTGTGACAACAGAAACCAACACCTGCTAAAGGCATAGGAGTGCCATCAGCAGTGACAGGAATAGAAGACGAAGGGACACAGAAGCACAAAGATGAAGAATCTGGGGACATATGATGTGAAGCACCAGAATCCAAAACCCATACAGAAAGTGACATACCTGAAGAACTATGGGTAACTGACCTACGGAAGAAGAAGCAGACATAGCTTGTGCTTTAAGAGAGAGAAACTTCTGAAATTGCTCAGCCAGAGTACTAGGATCGGGTGAAAGGATCTGATGAAACTACTGCTGCGGTATTAGACTGTGGTGGTTTGTAACCCTGGAATGGTCTATGAGCATTAGATTGTGACTGGTTGCAGACTTCCAGCTTGAGATTGCTTGCTGCGATTGATTCTGCTGTCTCAACTTAGGACACTGGGCCTTCAATGACCTTTTTGCTTACAGAAACTGCAATCGTCGAAGGCAACCCTTGTGTAAGGTTTATTCTGATTATTAAAGACTGGCTTCGAGGTACTGCTAACACAGAAGGATTAGAAGTCGAAGTAGAAAGAATTCCTTTTTCAGAATGAGACTTAAGACGTATTTCTTCAGCCAATAACTCACTGACAACTGAGTCAACAGAAGGCATTGGAGAACGATGCAAAATTGAACCTCTAGGCCTTCAAAATCACTACGAAGTGCCGTTAAAAACGTACCACACCGTTGCTGCTCCCTGAGCATAATAGGAGCACCACATGCTTTTAATTCTGCAGATTCTGTAAGAGCCAATTGATCCCAAGATCTGTATAGCAGAATAAAACTCATGAACACTCATATTCTTCTGCTGAAGAGCTCGTATGTCATTCTCCAATTGATATGCTTTGCAAATTTGACTGGTAAATAACTTTGTAGATGATCCCAAACCCTTTTGCTGTCTCATACCGTAACGTGTGACCTATGGAATGCCCAACAGAATTATTAATCCAAGTAATAATTTTTGCATGTTTGCTTCCCAGGCATCTATCAAAGCATCATAACCCTCCTCAGTATTCTTAGGTTTCACAGAAGTTCCACTAACATATCCCCACATCTTTTACCCTTAAGAAAATTTCTCATCCACATAACTCCAATACGAATAATTCTTGTCATCTAACCTCACACTTACAGACTGAAGCGAATCGTCTCTTTCAGTAGCCATATTCAAAAAAACAAAGAAACCAGAATGCAAAAGAAAGGAAAACGAAATACCAGATTGCCGAAATTGAATGAATACCAACAAAATATCAGATTGCAGAAACTGAACGAATACCCTCTCCAAAAATTAAGCCTCGTCCCATGAAACTTTGCTCTGATACCATGTTAAACAATCCAAAGAAAATAATAAAAAGAGGAGGCTAGGGTTTCATTAATATTGCACAATTTAATTGAATACAAAAAGTATGATTTAACCTAAATACAAAGATATATATATAGGCTAAACAAAGGAAATAATGAAAAGACAAATCTACCCTTAATAAGCAATAAAACAAAATAACCCATATTTCTTAACAAGAACCCGATTAAATCCTTTAATCTTTTATATCGCAAAATGTTGACACACTCCTCCACCGGTAAAACCCTATCGCGGCGGATTTCCATACCAATTCTGCATCGGGTAAGCCTTATTTTCAGCGGTGAAAGATCACACATGAAGCTGAAGGGGGGTAAGAAGTTGAATTTATGAACAATGCCAGCCAAGTATTTGTGATGGGCACTATTCTTATTAATTTATTATTATTATTATGTCATGCTACGGCCCAATACTCCAAAATAAAATATATATCATGACAAATTAATTAATGTCAATTTAATTTTATATAATATATAGCTGTATTTCTTCTTATGTAATTAATTTATGGTTGAAAGAAACCAAAATGAACTACCTGGCTAAGGGTCCCAATTGAAATTCCATTAGGACCATTACATGGTGGGTACTATTCAATACCTCGTTACAGATTTATTCTAATAAATTCCGCTCGAGTAAGCCATACCAAACAGACCCGAATGCATTATTCTAAAGGGTAATACTATATTTACAAATAACTATACAAAAATTTTTTATACAAAATGATGTATCAGAAGATTAATAGAAGACTGAATATGATGAGTTTGACTTTCTGTATTCACTCTTCCATTCATCTCCTACCACCTCACTTTGTACAAATAGTCTTTGTAAATTTCCTTGTACGTTTAACATTATTGTATTCTAAATTATAAAACTCAAATCTTTTTTAGGGTTTTTATTTTTATTTTTAAGAAGTATATATGATTGTGTTTGAGACATTATTTCTACCATATCCTACACAAAATACATATTTGTTTCCTTATTTTGAAAATTCAATTATGTTTTATTCAACTATTTTTAAAACCCAATAGGTTTGTTAATTTAACTAAATACCCTTAACAATAAAAGTTTATAAATTGACAAAAACACTCCCATCCAACCACATATTCCCAGCAATCAGCCACCGGTTTCCAGCATTTAATGGGTGGATGGGGATATTTTTGTTAATTTTAAAACTTTTATTGTAAGGGGTATTTACTAAATCAACAAATATAGTGGATTAACAAATAATCTTACCAAACATATTTTCAAATTCAAATCTTATCTCGTAATAATAACTCAACTTAATTTTTTTAAAATACTATTCAAAATAATAAAACAAACACACCCTATATGATCACGAAAGTGCAGATGGAGATTATATATGATTTAGTAAGATTTACTTGAATAAGACTTATTAAACAAACTCGAACATATGTTTTTTTCTTTCTTTCTTCAAAAGAGAATATAGCTTGAAATAAACTCTTTTGGCTCTTAGAATAAATCCAACGAACCAGGTTCAGATTATACTTTTATGAGCTCTACTCGAAAATACCGAATCAAATGAACTTGAACGTATCATTTTTTTTTCCTGGAAGTACACAATGAAGAAGGGATGGACATAAGAGTCTGGAATCTTCAACTATGATTAACTTTATAAACTTATGAATTAAAGGGGGCCACAGGCATATATCATTATCGAGAATTTGTTTGAATAGTTGCTGCATAAAAACTGACCCTTGTGCATCTGATTGGTTACCCAAACTGGCTCCATTCAGGGACCATTTTCGTAACTCTTTCAACATTATTGATACTTGAAAATCTTTTCTGATAACAATGCCTCCATTTGCATTTCCATATGGGACAATATTATATTTATAA